TAGCTTCTTTTTTTGCAATTGAAAAGAAACTGCCATCTACTATTCAAAATTTGAATTGCAAAATGTAGGAGAGTAAGACTGTAAAAGTTTAGAAGAACTCGTCATATGATTGGAGTCTCAGGAATCTATAATCCACGGAGATGAATTGAGGTATGATAAGGTGTGAGGATAATTGCCTAATTGTGCTAAGGAAACACTATGATTGTCTCGATGATTAATTAGTATTTAGTAGCTTTAGGAGTTAACCAATTTGCTCTTTACTGAACTGGTAAGAATCAGCAGTATTTGCATTAGAAGACAGCTGGTTGCTGTCATTCCTCTACCGTTTGTTACTTTTCCAATTTGCTGGTTTCCCATGAAATTTCCAGCAAGTTTCACGGGTGTGTCAATGTTTATTACAATGGTCACACTAGACATGACTCATTCTCTTTTACTTTGATGATTTCAAACTTTATTAGCAACCAATGTCGAACCTTCGACAGTGTTGCTTGTATTTGTTTTTTTACCAAGCATAACATTTCGACAACTTTCTTCACGTTGTACTTCAGAAAAACTTTTTCAATGGATAGAAGTGGTTTTCTACCAATTGTCCTGCCTCTAACCTCATCAAATTCCATCTTTAGATCGAGAAGAAACTTTTAAATTCGATCATCCTCTATAGTTTTCAAATGATGTTTATAGTCATTTGAAGATTTCAACTTATAAATATAAAACATGTAACAACCCGTATTTTCTAATACGGTCATTCTGACAAAATGCGGAAACGTAACTTTCAAGAAACCTTAAGAACTAAAACTATTCAGCGGAAGCAATTTCTTTACAGAATTTTTCTAAACTAACTTAACTAAATAGGAAGATGACTTTCAAACTCATGCCAGTATGCGAAACTTCACCTTCTACCAGAACATTCAATCCTTCATCTGAAAAACATTTAGGAAAACAAAGATGAGTACAAAAATAATCAATAAGCAATTTCCATATCGAATTTCAAAATTCATTTTCCTTTCAAAACATTCGTAGACAAAAATACGAACAGATCAAAACTTTTAAAGTCCTTTAAAATATTTAATACAATTTTCAAAACTTTCAAAACAAACTAGATTTTCAGAAACAAAAGTATTCAAATAAGATAAAATTTCCGGTCAATCATAACAAACTTTCATTCATTCAAAACAAACTTGCATTCATTCAAAACAAACATGCATTCATTCAAAACAATCTTCCATTCATTCGAAACAAACTTTCATTCGATCAAACTTCAAATCCTTCAAAACAAACTTTCTTTCAATCAAAACTTTCAAAATTTCTTCTAAAACATTTGGTACAACTTTCAAACTTTCGAATAACTAAATCATTCAAACATTCAAAACAATCTTACAGTCATTCATACTTTCAAAATCAGAGTGGAAGGTTGCATTATTTGGGTAACCTACAGAACATGTATGGTTGGTTACCCGTCGGTAACACCAATCAATCAGAAGCTTCTATCAGAATTGTCGAATTAATATTGACCAGAACAGAGTTGTCGAAATAATATCGACCAGAACAGAGTTGTCGAAATAATAATATCGACAAGAACAAACAGAACGATTACTTAAGTGTGAGGCCATATGAATGAATAACACACACGAATCTTCATTCCCAAGGAATGTCAAACCACATAAGTGTCTTCCCACAAATAAGCCGAAATCCATCAATTCCAAATTAGGCTACTACCCCAAATAAGCAAAACGTTCCTCAAAACAAAATCATGGCATATTCGGATAGCCCTATCAAATCAATGAAAATATATTTAAAATAAAATGCAAAACAAATACTTACTTTCAATATTAAATTAATTCAAAACATTGAAATAATTTAAAACAAACTTTATCAATTCTCCAAAACATGATTTCAAATATTTCACAAATAAACAAAATATCAATTTCAAACTTTTAAGTAAATCTAAACAAAACTTTATCAAATCATATAAGAATACTTCAAATACTTTGCAAATAAACATAATATCAATTTTCAAATTAGTTTTTAAATTCATAATAAAACTTCAATTTCATATGCAAGATATCAATTTCAAATCTTCCTATCAAATCCAAAATACATTTTAGTTTTTGAAGGGATATCACAAATCACTTACAACACTTTTCGAAGGGATACGGTAAATCACTTACAATAGATATGACAAATTACTTACCTCATTCAGAAATCTGCGAATCTTATTAACTTCCTCGGTAGTTGTCAACTTAGAGGCCTATAAACAACCAATATCCAAAATCAATCGTTAAATCCTATCCAAGGATTTAAAATTCAACCAATTACTAACCAAATCTAATCTACCCAAATTTTCCATTCAAAACACTTTTTTATGCAAAATAATTAGGAAAGTATGGATTTGGGGCTACAAAACCAGATGTGAAAACTGGGTTAAAAAGTCTCTAAAATCAACAATAACAACCATTAAAATTACAAGAATCGGTACAAATTAATACAGACTAAATTTACAAAAAGTTTCTCAACTAAACAAGTTTAAAAGCCTTATAATCAATTGAAAATTTTGGGATTTTAAATCTGGAAAATTTTATGTTTTATAAAATAAAACTTCCAAGAATTTTCCATAAAACAATTAACAATTTACTGATTTTTATAGAAAAATCAGATCTGAAAACCGTATAGAAAACCTTTAAAACTTAGTAAAAACATATAATTTTTCATGTAAAAATCATAACAACAAACTATAATTTATAGGATACAAATAGGTAAACTTTTTATGCAAAAAGTGTCTCAAAATAGCCCAAAAACAATCTCATAAACAAAAAGATTCAAACCAAAAATTGTGGAAAATTTGTAGGACAAAAGTTCTTAAAATCTTTTATTCTAAAAAACAAAACTTCAAAACTTTTCTCAATAAACTGAATTAAAAAAACTACAGAAAAATAAAACTAAAACAATGATTCTATTTAGAAAGTTTTCTAAGTGATTTTAGAGTATTGGGTAACAAATAGAAATAATTTTTCTAAAAATCAAATTAGTTTCAAATAATTTTTACAAGAATCATTTCAAGTTGATTCTCTACAAAAATTGATTCTAAAATGATTGACCAGGAATCACTTTATGGTAGTGTAACCAAACAAAGTTGCGAGTAAAATCACTTTTAAAAAAATATAACCATGCAAGTATTTTAATTAAAACCATTTTTATAAAAAGTTTTTCAAAATCTTTTTTTCTCCTGAAAAATGTCTAAAATAGAAAGTAGGTAAAACTCACCCTATATCTACCCTGTTCTTAGTTTTTTATTCTAAACATTCCCTAAGCATATGATTATTCAAACACCATGACACGTCTTCATTGAATTTAGTTAAGCCCTAAAGAGTGTGTTATTTACTTTTTCAATAGAGAGAAACAAGAATCTTTAAGCTTTCTTCATTTCCTCCTTTGTATACCATGCCCATTTCATCTCTTCTTGCATTTGACGTTGTTCATGAGAACATTCCGCCCCGCCACTGCAAAGAAGTTGCTGGAGGGAGACGCCACCAGTAAATTGTCGCCGCTCGATTGCTTGGCGCCCGATTTAGGACTTTGTGGCGCTCTCGACTTGGTGTCTCAAAATTAGTATTGTTCTATGATTCTTGCTTCTCTGTTCGATTGCTCTCCTCTTGTTTGATTGAAGCGACCTTGTGTTCTTGGTTTTGCTACTTTGTACATTTCCTCCTAATGATATTGTCCAGAGTAGATGTAGTTTATTATGATTAAATCCGTTGGGTACATTCTCAAAATTCTCTAACTTTCAATTCTGTCCACCAATATATTTTTATTCAGAACTAAGATCTAAGATTAATTAGAGATTACGATATAAAATTCATAACAGTATGTACACATTTATCATAAAAACTGTCCATTTTACCCATATAACTATGTGATACTCATTTGTTAAAACTTAACAAAGCTTTTGAGTGTAGGGTTAAGATAATTTGCCAAAACGAGCATAGCTCAGCAGTAATTGACATATATCTCCAACCAAGAGGTTGTGAGTTCAATCCACTACCCCACATGTTAAAAAAAAAAAGGATAAAAGATAATTTTTTGTACCTTCCCATTTGCAAACGTTTATATTCTTTGTGGAGGTCGTTGGCATGGCAATTATATGCTTCTTAATAAAAGTTATTGATCAAAGTTCTCTAATTAAGTCACTGTGGTATAATGATAATGTTGAGTTGCGAGGTATATACCCTACGTATGACTTAACGATGAAGAAGAGCGTGTTCATAGTGATTATGAGTCTGGTTAAATAAGTGAGAATAGTGAATATGAGATTAGGCATCTCTATAAAGGATCATATAACAGATAAACATAACCTTCCCACCAATACGCCTTAGATTTTGTCTAGTTTTTCAAGTTTTAGTTCAACACATAGGGGTGTCTAAACCAATTGAGCTATATTCGAGTTTACAATATGCCTCATGTTATGTCCATATACAAAATGAGAGATTGCACTGTAGATTTCGACAAGTTTCTCTCTTGTTCCGTGAGTTAATAGTTTTTTAATCGAAAATAAAACGATTTAAACATATAACCAAAAAATAAGAAAAAAAAAAGGAGTTAATGCTTAACATACAATTGATCAAATTGATATTCAAAGATCACTCCTCTTAATAGTTTAAGTGGGAAACATTCTGCAGTTTTCTCGAAATAATTATCATTAAAACAAACATAGTTTTTAACAATAGAAAATATAACATAAAATTTTATTTATTATCTAAAAAAAGGAAGATACTGTACCAAATTCAGAGCACAAGTATTACACAAGGGCAAAAATGTTTTCAAATTGGAACCAGCTCTATGCAAAAATAGTGTGATTATGTAAACTATTCAAAAGTACATTATAATATGTAAGAAATTTAACTTTTAAAAACAAAATAGAAAATCACTGTCAAACAAGTTCATCTTTGTACAAAATCTTTAAATTTGGCTATATTACTTATCAAATTCAAAGCAAAAATATAAAATTACACCAAAAATTCTTTTAAATTGGCCAAAACTAGTATGTGTATGATTGTAGTTACAAGTACAACAGTGATCCATCTCATAGAACTGCTACAAAAACTAAAATCCTAAGCCATAAATAATACATAAATTCCCAGAATATCCTCAAAGAATGGCAATGGAATCACCTTAGTTTAAAAAATTTGAAGAATGCAAATGCATCCATTATTCCAAGAAGGTTTTTTTTTTTTTAATTGAAATATAGACTATATATAACCTTATAATAAATTATCTTTTGAAATCGATGGTTGTTGCAGTTCAATTTGTTACAAGTTAGAGCACACCTGCAGCTTAACCTGGAGATAGTGCGCAGCACAAGGAGTTGTATGCATTAACACAAAGTTTGAATTTCTCTTCAGCAATTGCCTGAAAACATGCCAAAAAAGAAAAAACAAAGAAACTTGTTAACGTTTTATTTATTCTGATCAGTCAAAAGAGCGACATAAGACGTGTCGAGTTTTGAAATACACATACTGAATGCTATGTGTTTAGATTGAAAATATTATTTCAAACTCACCTGGGAAGATCCTTGATGTTTATCAGGATGCCATTTTAAAGCAGATAAGCGGAACCTGCAAGATCATGGAGAAGAATTTAAGATAAACAAGTAAAAAGCCACTCTGCATCTGATAGAAAAACCAATCAACTTACGCGGTTTTAACATCTTCTATCTTCAAAGGACCTTTTTGTGGCAAACCAAGAATGGTTCTATCGGAACATGATCCTACATCAGTGGTCTCTTCATCAGATTCACAATCACTTGAATTATCCCATTCTGCAGCTCTTCGGTTCTTCCAGTTCGGAGGCTGTGTCCACTCGAAACCAAATGCTGAATTTTCAGAGGACTCCTTACATGAGCCAAAGGACCAAGCATATGATCTATTGCCAAATCTGGTGTGAAAGACTGTTTCGGAATCGTTGTCGAAGTCATCATAGAAACTCTCTCTTCTGAACTTGCCTGAAGAAAAAACCAATGAAATGTGTAAATTGACTCAAATCTCCAAAGCCCCATCTTCACCTAGTCTGGTTTCTTAATTATTATTTAGTTTCATTTTATACAGTATTATAATATTAATAAAAAACTTTATGGTGCAAAACTGCCCACCAATATCTTCATCCCTGTCAAACACTGACTAATATGAAAAAGAAACAAAGCACAACATAGAAGGAAAAAAGGATGTCCTGAGTGACGCCTCAAAATCCTCCCAGGGACTCAAACAACCTCCAAGGGACACGTGGCATTGTCTCACGGATATCCTTCTCCTTTTTTCTTCCTTTCTTACTTCTCATAATTTCATGACTATCTCCAACGCTCGCCACCTTTTGTTCAGTGCTAAAAGATTTCATCCATACGATTAAGTCAGAGACATGACTTTGATACTATCATTTTAGCTTAGCACTCTAAATACAAACACTTAAGCTGATACCAAAAAAAAAAAAAATTTCCTCGACATCTAAAAATACCTGTAATTGTCACTAAGAATCTTACTATTCCTTTCTAACCATATCTCCCAATGAACTTCGGTCTTTACTTTGAAGAAGTGACTCAAGAACATCTCAATAATGAAACCTGGTGTGTAAAAGACGGCACAATTGGTAATCCAAAGCAGAAGAGATATTATCCACACCTGTCTCTTGGACTACCCAAATATTGGTAAGCATTCAGAATATCACTACAATCACGATGATATATTTTTCAAAATACATTTTTATCAGAGAAAATAACTTAGAGTGATGAAAAAGGAAAGATCTCAATTATGTAGCAATTTAAGCCGTCAATGTTGAAATTCGGCATAAAGTCCTTTGAGGAGAATGAATAAAAAGTTTTATGGTCTACCAGGAAAAGTTGGAACATAACAAATGAACAACAATGTTATACTGAGATCGAGCCTCATGCTCCACAGAATTTTATCAAAAGAAATAAAAATCAATATAAAATAGCAGTAGATAATGTTTAAAAGATAGGAGACTAACGTTTTGTTTTCTTATGCTGGGATTTTCCCATATGTCGCATTGAAGACTTTGCTCGTTCTTTCTTATCGCAGCTACCTGATTGATCGGATGACTCCTCAGTAGACCAGCGACCACCAAGACTCCACTTTGATTCCTTATTCTGTTGAAACAGATATCAACCAAAAAACATAAGTCATGAACCAATATGCTTTTCTTTCATAATCGGGATATTGGGTTAGAGTTCTGCTCCTTTCATTATGCTCGTGGCTCACACTCACTAATCTCCAATAAGGTTTCGCCCGACCCAAGGCCAGCTTTGGGAGACAACAAGGGTTCTAAGTTTTTAAATCTTCAACATAAGGACTTTAAGACCCTGGGGTTATTTCCATACATCCAAGCACTAATCTTCAGGGCATGGAGATATCAAATAACCTTTATCCATATATTAAAGCCTCGAAATGCAAATGCAACCAAGAAGCAGGATTAAAATTCTTGGAAAAGCAGGGAGGCAAGAACCTAAAAAGTTATGGGATTCAAGACATTCAAATGGTTTCTTCAACCCTTACGTCGAATAAATAACGTCCAAAGCATTCAATGACATGAACTCTATCAATCTCATTATTATGCACTGAAAATAAGAAGTGACCGGTTCCACATCATAATAAAATTATGATTGCTTTTCTTCTAACGCACTATTTTCTCGAGAGGTGTAGGTTCATAGAATAGTAATAAACATCTGCAAACTAGTGTTTGCACTATGTAGTGTAATATGAACAGCCGGTGCAACTTAATTTTTAATGTGTGCATGTGTGCATCAGATGTCATACCTGAAAGGTAGATCCATTGTTGTAGAGGAGGTCCTTTAGAGCCTTTTTTGCATCAGCACGCCTTTGACGGGTTACATATCTAACATAATTCTGGTATGATCATTTCAAATATTAGAATCTTCTAAAGAAACAATAAATTAAATATAAGCCAGAAAAAACAGAGGGCAAGAGATGATCAAAGTTGATTGAAATGAATAGGCTTCATCTGAACCCATATAATTCAGGATGTAAATCAATGAATTTCACTGTTTAGTGTAAATCAAGTTTAAACAGTTAAAAGTATATTATCCCTCTCTTGGGAAGTAGTTTTGTAATTTCTTTTCCCTTTTGACTGTGGAGATACCTTATCTACTAAACTGTTTTTTTCTATTTCCTTCTCTCTTCAACTTACAGGTTTGTTCACCCGTCAAAAAAATATAAACTCCTAAGAAGAGGCAATTGAAACGAAAACTTTCATAAGCAGACTATAAAATAAAAGGCAAAAATAAAAGGCAAAATGTATCATTTTAGTAGGACTGTACCATTGAGCCCAATCACACCATAAGCGGAATACTGAAAGCAATAAAACATTCAACAAAATTCTTAAAATGACAACCATGATCTTCATAAGACTGCAGTCTTAAGTTCAAAGAATGTAATCCAATGAAAAAGCCTTCTAGATAGACATAAATGTACACCGAGCTAGCATTTAGTGCAATGGGATAAACATGAAAGATCTTCAAATGCTGAAATATCTCCCTCAAACACCCAAGACTCTAATTTGAAAAGAAGAAGAAAAAATGGTCCGTCTGGCTCAATGACATGAATCTTGCATTTATAAGCAAGTATTACAAAAACAAAATAGTTAGCTAATTGATGGAATTACATACCTTTGACGGCTCCTTTCCCTTTTCACCATCCTGCAAAATATTAAAAAAAAAAGAAATTTTTAAAGAAGTTAGAAATGCAGAAAATATTATGCATTCAATGTTGCAAATGATTATAACTCAACTAGATTTATTTCACTTCTTATGATCAAAATTTAAATATATATTTCAGTTATTTGGTTTCTATCAGATTGTAGACCAATGATCCTCTGCTTGAACGATTTTGTTTAAGTTTATCAGCACATAGCTCAGCATTTCTTGTTCCATCACCCAACCAGAGAAAAAATAACTACATTCACCCTCTACACATATAGGATGATACATTATTTCAAACAATAACAAATTAACTCGTTTCAATCAACACGAAACAGCCTTAAAGCGTTTAAAATTCTGCATAAATTACACAAAAACTAGTGAAATCAACAAACTGGGCACTTACCCAAATAGGCAATTCATACAAAAAAGAAAAAAAAACCCCCAGAAAAAAGGCAAAAGGGAAGCAAACTCACGAATCTCCAATTGTTCTTCCATTTGTCGCAGGAGGCGGGCGTGGAGTGGAAAAATGCGACATGGGTTGCAGCGGAAGTGGACCCGATTAAGGATTTGTTGAGAATTAGGGAAGTTCGAAATCTGGGTATTAGCATTGGGAATTGAAAAGCTGAAACAAAGAATAAGGATTGAAGAGAATGTTAATGTAGTGCAGTCGTCGGGGGCGTTTGATGGGCAGAAAATGGAGTTGAATTGAAGGATTGAGAAAGATTGGCGCCGAATTCGGCTCCGAGGAGGAGGCTTCTCTGCAATTGCTTGTGCTCGTTGCAGTGATTTCTAAACATGGAAGAAAAGCACATATGGCCCAAATTTCTACCGGTGCCCATGGGCCTCCTCTCCGATACCAATATTTGGATAATTTAAGTCGCGTTTTAAAAAAGGGCAACGGCATGAATGGCAAAAATAAATAAAGTGTTTAAAAAGAGAATTTATAGTAGATCTCCCTATTTCTCCTGCGGTATTGAAAAATGGCCAAATCATTTTAGATAATGAAAAATATCTATTTATATTTTTTAACTGTTTTGTAGGTTTGATATTTGACACTTCTACTCTTCTATTTAGTTATTAGTTTTAAAATCAAAATATTCTAATTTTCATTATCTTCCTATAGTCTATCTCTTTGATTCTAGTGTTTTTTTCTAACCACCATTATTATACACTTAGATATATATGGAGATAGAATTCGCAAATTATAAGGAGACATCACACAGCGGGAAATGATTAGAGAGGGAATCTATCGGAGTCGAGTTGACAAAGGGAGAGGATGCGCGAGGGAACAACGGTGGGGCAATGCATTGGGTGATAGAAATGGGTTGCAAGTGGAGCGGCAGGGGTGGAGGGTAAGGCTTTACTTTATCCTTATTTTTATATTTTTGTATTAATTGTTCACAAAAATATACCTTATTTATTCAACTATTTCTTTAGTTGGGCTTCGAGATTGCGTATACGCGAAAAGAGCTCGCTTTCTACTTTCTACCTCGRCGTTTTGTGCCCGGTTCTGGTTCAGGAAAGAGTCTTATCTCTTTCATTGGAGCACATTGATGCCGAAGGAGTCTTCGGAACCGGTGGAGAGGCTATGATGATTGAAGGCTATTCAAATAGCATGACTCATACCACAAAGAAAGGGGTATCTAAGTCACACCAGTGGAATAGCTTTTTAAGAATAATTCTCTCGATATATGATATCAAAAACCTGCCTTATGACTGATAAGGTAAGGGGTTTCAAAAGAAAAAAAATGACAATTCTACGTGTGATGATATTGTTCACTGTATTTGTTACTCTATCCTTATATTTATATTTTTGTATTAATTGTTCACAAAAATACACATCTCTTCACCATATTTGTTGTTGTATTTGTTCTTCGCTTCACCATATTCTTTGTATTTGTTCCTCTCTTCACCATATTTGTTGTATTTTTGTGTTCACCGTATTTGTTATACTTTTGTTTCTCTATTCACCATATTTGTTGTTCGCATTTGTTGTATTTTTATTTCTCTGTTCACCGTATTTGTTGTTTATTGTATTTTTGTTTCTTTGTTCACAGTATTTTTTATTTGTTGTTTTTATTTCTTTGTTCCCGTATTTGTTGTATTTGTTCTGGCTTTAGTATTAGTATTTCTATTTCTAATTACATTTTGTTTATTAATGTTTATTAGATATCCTGACGGTTATTTTTCATTTTTTATAAAAAAATATTTTTTTTTTCCAGATTTGTTAGCATAATTCTCTAAAATTGGTTTGAAAACTATTTGAATTGAAAAATTTAGGTAGGATTCTAAAAATATTTGAATTATCCTATGGTTAGGTAGGATTCTCCTATAAAAAAGGAAAAATAACAAATTCATTTAAAAATGATTTTAGAAGAGGGTAATTTCGTCCCTAAAATATTAGTAAAGATCTTACTACTTTTACGTCGACCATTATTGAAAAGTGAATATTGTTTCCAACTCAAGAAGTTAGAATTGTTCAAATAAGATGACCCACTGAAACTATTAATGAACACAACTATTTATTTTAAGGAAAATTTTATGACAATATAGAAACGGAAAATTTTCTTTATTATTATCATTTAGTATGCATTACAAAAATTTCCCGCTATTCCTCTATTTGATGTCGATTCATCCACACTTCCATTCTTTGTAGAGGAAGGCTAACTGCTTGCTGGCTGGGAGCTGTATGAGCGGTAACGTCCACGTACGGCTCTGTGAGAAGGGCGGTGGACAGAAATGGCCTTGTTGTACCTCACTCTCGTCTTCAATGGGGTCTGCTCTTTTTTTTTTGGGAGAGTATGCCAATATGATCTTAATGAGGTGCGGGGCTTTGCATCTGACATTCGTTGGGCTTCCCTCTTCGGGGGCCTGCGTCCCGGCGTTTTTGTGCAATAAACCCCTCCGGCCGAAGACTAGTGGTAGGTGGTCCCGCGGAGCTTTCGGAGAAGGGTAGCCTAGTGTGTAAGCACAGCAATGAACCGCGGCCATATTTTGAAATCGCTTATTTTAAATGACTATATCTATTGTTACCACTTTAAAAAATGGTCAAAGATATTAAATATTGTGTAAATGGCTAAATGATATTTTTTTTAGAATTCTAAATATTATTTTAGACAAATATACCTCTATACTATATGTGCTTAATTTTAGGGATTTTATTTGGTACAACAACTTAGCAAAAACAACGCATCCTAATTATACAAATCAATATTAAATAATCAAATTTAAACAACTAAAATATAATTTAAAATTTTAAAATATATTTTGAAAGTAGATAAATAAAAATTTATTCAAAATTTGACTAACGTTTAAAATTTATAAATTTCTAAGTTAAAATCTAGGTTAAAAAACACATTTGGTCCCTGAAGTTTCACTGAAGTAACGATTTGGTCCTTCAACTTTCAAAAGTAACAATTTGGTCCCTGTACTTTGAAATTAGTTATAATTTAGTCCCCACCGTTAAAAATTAGGTTAGATTTAACATAAATCTGACGTGGACGTTCCACGTGTACAAATAAAATCGCAAACTGTACGGATTGGTCCAATCTCAAACCGGTTCAAACTTGGACTTATTTATAATTTGGAAAAAAAATTATAAAGAGAAAAATGCCTCCCTTCGACGCACGGCTCTCCAATTATGTAGCTGAAGGACCTAAACTAGTGAAAGTTTTGGCTAGCATGGTGGTGATGGCGAGTCCGGTGTTGTGGATTAGGGTGTTCGTGAGAGTTTAAACGAAGAAAGACCAGGAAGAGGAGTCATTCGGAGAATGGGGTTGTTCTCGATGAAGCGAGGCTCTGCGGCGGTGGGGAAACGAAAACCATAGGGAGAAAAAGTTTACAAATGAAATGGAGATACAAGTTGTGTGTGTTCGACCATTGACAATATATCAAAAAAGAGATCAAAATTGAAATTATAATAAACTATTACTAAAGTAGCAGCAGCCAGGACTCTAATCCAAATATGTTATTTAAGGTGTTGCCAAAGGCAAAGGTGCATCTGACGGCGGCCCGACAATCCACGATGAAGACAGAGATAGAGACGGAGCCAGAGCTAGAGCAGGCAGAGGAGTCACCGAAGGAGCATGGCTTTGTGGCGGTGGGGAAACCCGATCTGCAGTTCTCTTTATTTAATTTCAAACCAGTCCAAGTTTGAACTGGTTCGAGATTGGACCGACCCGTACAGTTCGCGATTTAATTTATACACATAGAACTTCCACGTCAGATTTCTGTTAAATCTAACCTAATTTTTAACGAAGTACAGGGACCAAATTGTTACTTTTGAAAATTGAAGGACCAAATCGTTACTTTAGTGAAACTTCAGAGGCCAAATATGTTTTTTAACCTAAAATATAAAATATAAATTTAATATTTCTAGGTGGGAAGTGTAAATATATTTAATGGTCCATACATAATAGTCTACACTTCCATTGCTGGGGTCAATATCAGTATCTATAGTAGTCTACACTTCCATTTATGGGGTCAATGTCGGCATCTAAAGTGATCTGATTGAGTGTCGCACTTCCATTTCGAGGTTAATGTCAATATCTACAATGGTCTTTACTAGTGTTGCATTTTCATTTGGGGATAAATTTTGGTATTTACAAAGGCAATACCTATAATGTCTTCCACAACTAACTTTTTCCTATGATTTGTAAGCATAATCGTGACCTATAATAAAGAACTTGAGAGGAAAATAGGGGAAAAGTAACTTCAGGGAATAAGTTGCAAACTCCAACAAGAATGAGAAAGGGCGAAGAAGCAAACAGAAATAAAATTGAATAAGACTAAGAGAAAAGCAAACAGAAAGAAAACTGAATAAGACTAACCTCAGTGCATGCCCAAGCCAAGGGTAGTAGATACCATAGATCTTTTGCAATTATGACAAAGCCTAATATGTAGGAAACTACAAATACTAAAACAAACTTTCATGCTTTCACATCATTGATCTTAAACACCTTAAAAGTCATGGTCTGAGTGATTTGTTTTGGTCGTAACTATCATCGTATAGAAATGCGATTAGTATAGAATTCACTATTGCCAAACGGTAATCACTTTAGTAACATATGCACACTGTATATATCAATAGATACACGTATAATTACTAGTGAGTTGATGGTAACTTGTGGTCTACACTTTATTTATGAGTTCAATGTCAATATTTACAGTGGTGCGTGTCGCACTTTCTTTGAATTGTGGTCTATACTGGAGTCGCACTTCCATTTATTGGGTAAATGTCAGTATCTATAATAGTCTGCACTTCCATTTATGGTGTCAGTGTCGGTATCTACCATGGTCTGCATTGGGTGGTGTCGCACCTCCATTTCGAGGTCAATATTAATATCTACAATGGTCTGTACTAGTGTTGTATTTTGATCTTGGGATAAATGTTGGTATCTACAAAGGCAATACCTATAACGTCTTCCACAACTAACTTGTTTCTATGATTTGTGAGCACAATCGTGACCTATGATAAAGAACTTGAGGGGAAAAGAAGAGGAAAGTAATTTCAAGGGCTAAGTTGCAAACTTCAACCAGAATAGGAAGGGGAGAGAGAAAAGCAAATAGAAAGAAAATTGAATAAGACTAAGAGAAAAACAAACAAAAAGAAAATTTAATAAAATTAACCTCAATCCATGCCCAAGTCAAGGGTAGTAGATACCATGAAGCTTTTGCAATCATGACAAAGCCTAATGTGTAAGAAACTACAGATGCTAAAATAGATTTCTAGTCTAAGTGACTTGTTTTGGTCTCAACTACCATCATATAGAAATATGATTAGTATAGAATTCACTGAGATGAGAGCTTGGAAGGATGAGACTTAATCCATCATTGTAGTGAGAGCTTGTAAG